GTCCCTGCTCCTGCGGAAGTGGTTGCCATAGCTACAGGTCAGGGTGTTCGAGGCGTTACCCCAGTGACAGCATCTGCAGTAGTTCCTACCACTCTGAGCCAGGTGCAGTCACAGACTCGCCCACTGGTCACTCAGGTCACACAAGGTACTAAACTGAACAGGCTTTCCTCTGAAAAGACATCCCTAAAGTACTAGTTACTGTTTGGCAGATCTGACTTTTCTGCTGTTTTCCATCCAGCCACAGGTATCCCGCTGCAACAAGGAAAGCCTCTCACCCCAGCCCACCTGCAGATGCTCCGACAGCAACAGCTGCAGCAGCAGGCTACGTCCCCACAGATCAAAGCTGTAGGCAAACCTCAGGTATACAGCAGCATCTTTACATAATAGCTATGTAAAATGTCTTTATTGGATAAATCAGACATATTAGCAGTAAATGAGATTTTCTTAGTATGATTGTTGGCAGTATTTAAGATTTCCCAGTAAGCAGTACAATGAGCCATGTTTTAAAGTAACAATGTGTAAGGTTTGCCTGGCGATCTGTGTTTACAGGAGTTGTTAAAGATGCAGAAGCATAAGTTGCAACATCAGCAGCAACAGCAACCTCAGCAGCAGCATGTAGCTGCAGCCCAGGGCCAGCCAGCTACAGGGGCCCAGCAGGCCACCCAGGTGCAACCTGCACAGGCCCAAGCCAGTCCCCAGCTGGCAGCTGTGGCAGCACCTAGACCTGGAGCCGTGCTGACCGGTACGACTGTGGCCAACCTGCAGGTGGCCAGGCTGGTAAGACTGTGAAAAGGATCCGTTTGATTGCACATGGATACAGAATTTGCAACACTGAGGACAAGTTGGTGACGGTCATTCCAAAATCTTACTCTGTATATGCACACTGTACTATATGATGAAAAGACCTGATAGATTGTTTTAACTACAGAAATAAATTGTAGGTGTATTGCTAATGTGTAACATATTAAGGACAGATATTGTGTACTTTCATACATCATGCATTTATTTAAAATTCTGGCGCCGACAGCGATTGGGGCCGTGGTTACTCGCACTCTTGTGTTTGTTGTTTTTCTTTGGTTTTTTGCAACTCATCCCAGATTAGTTTTACCAGAGAAGAACTGTTAAATATCGGACAACTCACACCAAACTACCTTCCCCCGATTTTTGTGAACAAAGAATGCTGTATGGACATTCTGATCAGAGGCGCAGCGGCAATATATGGGACCTGGAAAAAACGCTGGCATGGAAAGCGGGCAGGCGCCTTGGTGCAGTTACGACAGAGCGGAACATGGACCCCACTCCCATCTATTCACCTGGCAAATCTCCGCTCCCTGGTCAACAAAATGGATGAAATTATGGTTGAAAGTCCCCTCCTGCTTCAAACGCTCCACCATCATTCCAGTCCCCAAGAAAACCTCCATCCATCAGTGGACTGAACGACTACAGACCTGTCGCCCTGACATCTGTAGTTATGAAGTCCTTTGAAAGACTGAAGTTGGCCCACCTGAAGGACACTGTAGACCCCCTGCAGTTTGCCTACCGGGCAAACAGGTCAGTGGACGATGCAGTGAACATGGTACAGCATTACATCCTGCAACACCTAGACTCCCTAAGGACCTATGCACAGGCCCTCTTTGTGGACTTCAGCTCGCCATTCAACATCATCATCCCAGACATCCTCCACTCCAAACTGACCCAGCTCACTGTGCCTGCCCCCACCTGTCAGTGGATTACTAGCTTTCTGACAGGAAGCAGCAGGTGAGGCTGGGAAAAACCACATCCAGCACCCAGATAATAAGCACAGGCGCCCCCCAGGGATGTGTACTCTCCCCTCTGCTGTTTTCACTCTACACCAACGACTGCATCTCGAACGACCCCTCTGTCAAGCTCCTAAAGTTTGCAGATGATACAACGGTCATTGGTCTCATCCGAGACGATGACGAGTCAGCCTACAGATGGGAGGTTGAACAGCTGATGCTGTGGTACAGTCACAACAACCTGGAGCTGAACTCGCTCAAAATACTAGAGATGACAGTGGACTTCAGGAGGAGCAACACATGTATCCCTCAGTGCAACACCTGTAAATATACCTCGTACAGATTATACAGACTCGTACAGGTCTCTAGTTTTAAGTACTTTGTTTTTATTCCTATTATCTCATTTCAGTGAGCATTCCTTTATTTGTCTGCATTGTTTACTGCTTGTCTATACTGCTTATTTTGCATCATTTGTGGTGTTTATTGCTGTTAATACTGCTTATTTAGTTATTACACAGCCTTATTGTGGTTTACTGTTTACTTGCCCCTTGCATGGGGATATGTACATATACATTGAGAGCCGATGTTCCAGAGTCAAATTCCTCGTGTGTCCAACACACCTGGCCAATAAAGCTGATTCTAATTCTGATTTATTTAGCAAAAACACTCTTTGGTTTGCTCTTGTCCTGTTCATTCCTCCTGTTAGACTACGTTCACACTGCAGGTCTTAATGCTCAGATCGGATTTTTTGCCGAAATCCGATTTTTTTTTTTTTTTTTTTTTTT